CCAAGTGCCGTCATATTCTTCTATTGTCACTACTCTACATTTACACTTGTAAGGGTCAATAAATATAAGAAATAGCTTTTTTAGCTTAATATAGAATATATTTATAGGGAATAAGTAAGAAATAAGGTTTGACAATTATATAGGGATATTTAGGCAAAGATCAGGATTTTTGGTTTTAGTGGCCAAAAAATGATCCCCATGTTTTTTCCCATAAGAATAACATGGGATCAGGATTTTTTGGTTTTAGTGGCCAAAAAATGATCCCATGTTATTTCTTATGGGAAAACGTGCCCCAAGTGCCGTCATATTCTTCTATTGACACTACTTACAGGAATTAGTGAAAGGGGGCGTCTACACAACAAATACTTAATTTTGACACGTCGTTTGTAAAAATCCGTCCATTATTAACGGAGGAGTAGTGTTTCGTAGAAATCACCTTCACGTATTATATATAAGGATAGTCTATTATATTTTAAAGGCAGCGAGTAGTTTAAAACGAAAATCTAACCTCTCAGAGAAGTTGTAAGTAGAGATTGTTATAAGCAAGTCCTATAGTCGGTTTGAAAATATAGTGGATTGTGACCGTTTTCTTACTGTTGGGTTAGTTTAGGGTAGTAATGACGAAATATATAGTACACGCCACTCGCCCAAAATGTATTTACCGGACTAGGTACCGGTAATCCTGTCCAGCCATACTCGTCCGGTAAACACCTTTTTCCGAACTATACTCCGTTCACAAAATTTAGCCGGATTAAGGTGAAGAAATCTATCCCCTCTACTTTATCGTAACTTAAAAATAATAGCTCATCAGCTGAGGTTTGCCCACGATTACTAGAAAGGTTTGCCATAACGTCAATAAGCTGCAGCATAAATTAGCAAAAAATCAGTGTGGGAACTTACCCTAGAACCGCCTAAATATTGTGGATATTACCTAAGGGAGTATGTTTTATCTATGATATTACACACCCATAATTGATTATGGAAGCAAATCTCAGATTTACCTTACTGCTTACTGTTAATGAATATCACTTTGGTTCATGAATTTACAATCAACTGTGTGACAGAATCAAAATGTTAATTCAGGACAGATAATATAAACGGTATCAGTAAACTGACACATACTTTCTCCCATAGGCCTTAGCTTGTAAACGACCTTTATCATGGGTAAGCAGTGGGAGTATATGATATTCTATAAGGATAAAATCACAAAAGTTGCAATAACTTTTGAACCGTTAATTGTTACAGCAATGGGAGGTTGCATTATTTTTCATTGGAAATATAAGTACCACAACACATTATTTTAATCAAAACCGGCTTTTTTCCTAAAATCCGATATTTTGTTATTTTATGGGGTTTTTGTGGGAAACAACATAACATAAGTTACAATAACTTTTGAACCGTACTTTTTACGGAAATGAGATTTGTACAATTATGCTCAAAATATTAAGGACCATAACATACTAATTTTAATCATAACCGGCCTTTTTCTAAAATCAATTTTTTTGTTTTTATGGGATTTCTAAGGGAAAATAACATAAGTTACAATAACTTTAGAACCGTAATTTTTACGCAAATGAAATTTGTACCATTTTGTTCAGAATTTAAAGGACTAAAACATACTAATTTTTTTTCAAAATCGTTCGGGATATTTTCGAAACAAATTTTCCAGTTATTTTATGGGTTTTATGGAAAATACCATCAAAATAAAAAATTGGAAAAAATAAAAAACCTTGGGATATAAATGGATTAGTACCTACCAAATTTCATTGAAATCGTAAACCACTTTTTGGATTAAGGGGGACCCAAAACGAATATATCCACTCAAACTTAAAAATTTTAACGAAACCAATACTTTCTCCATATAGAGGGTAAAAGTGATCGAAAACGACCCCCCCCCCCACAAATTAATATGCATTAATACCCACTCAAAACTCAAACTCGAAAATTTTCACGAAAACAATATTTTTTCCATATAGAAAGTAAAAATTGTGTTTATTTTATTTTATAGTTTGTTAGTTTTTACACATTGTATTTTAAATTAATAGGTACTGCAGAGGAAGATATTGTCCTTTATTGTCAATTTAGTAAAACTTATAACCAGTTCCTTGGTAAGGAATGAGTAGGCCTATGTTTCCAAACACATCCAGCTGATTGTTAAACATAAACAATTGTTAAACATCTGTTGTAACCATAGCGTGCCAACTAACGGACACATAATAACTTCAAGGTTACCGGTACTGTGATTAATATCTTCTTGGTTAGATAACTTAAGATAATTTCCAATCTCATATAACTTACTGTTCAGATAGAAGATTGAATCAAAGGAATTGGTTGTATTTTTTTAGTGGTATGTTTGTAAATGAAAGAATACTAGTAATACTCTCTCTATAAAGGAAAAAACAACCTGCCAAGATAGTTTAGGAAACTGATAAACATTTGATGGAATCGTAAAATATCAATTTTACCTTTTTAAATAACTAGTTTAATGAGAAGGCCTACTTAGGTTTGCAGCTACAGAGTAGGTAGTAGAGTCATTTTTAAGCGAGTAGGATTTTAGCGAATTGTTTGTATTTTTACATTTAATTACCAATTGACATTACCAAATGACATGGGGAGAATAACTTTAAATGAACAGTTTTTAAAATTTTCTTCCAAACAACGCTTCAATGATCACTATTTGTTTTTTAAGCTGTACAAAATGGTTTGGAAATAAATAGCAAAATGTAATGTGTTTAAAATCGAAACAAAAAATTAACCCAATTTGTTCCGACCTTAGTTTCTACGCATTGCATTTTGTTTCATTATATTGATTATCTTGACGTTTATTACACAATGTAAAATTGTCAAAAATCAATACATAAATTATTATTAGTATTATGCTGTTCCACAAACTAATCCAAATAAACACAGTTTACTACTTACCGAATATCGTCAAAAATCAGATTATTTTTGCTCGATTTATCGTGAAAAATTAATATACATTAATCCAAACAGATGCTGTTTTGGCCACTAGGGACCTAAGTACACCAGCCGCAGCAAACCTGCAGACTAAGCGAATTTCAACTTGTCTGATTACATATTTACTAAAATATTTCCATAAATAAGACATATTTATTCCCAATTTAAATAACATTAGATTTAACGAGTGCTTAGGTTTGCTGCTACGGGGAAGGTAAACAGTGTTTTTTGACCAAACATCAATAGTATAGGATGAAATAAATAAATTTGTCATATTTGATCAACATATTATATCCTTAAACAAGCAAACTACAACAATTTTAATTTTATCCATAAGAATAACATAAGAATTTTAAATTTGCAATTTTTGAATTTTCTCCCTAACCATTAGGCATACAACAATGCTACAATATACTAAATTATTTCTTTTTTTAAGCTCTAAAAAATAGTTCTGAAAGAAATTCCAAAATTTTATGATTTATATTTATATATATATATATATATATAAATACAACATATATATATATATATAAATATAAATATATATATATATATATATATTTATACATGAATTTGAACGGATGGTGTTTTTAGCCTCTGGGGACCTTAAAACGAGAAAGTAAATCTGTCCCGGGTCTAGTTCTTACCATGAGACCTGCGGTAATATTCCCTATATGGGAAATACGCTATAAAACTGAATTTGAGGACGACAGAACCTGCAGAGTTGTGGGAATCTAAGTTGTTATGGTTATAGGACCAGTGGAGTTGACATGGCAAGACCAGGTCATTGAAGTAACAGTACCAGAATCAGAAATCTGCTAGGATTCAACCACTAGTGACTTATAGATCAAGTTACCATAAATAATTCTACAGAACTACTGTTAAATCTCAACAAATTCTAAATCTAAGACACACTTTATTTGAAAGTGATTGAGATTTCTAATTACAGTATGACCACAATTTTTTTGCAAATTATTCGAGTCACATTTTTCACTTTCTCCTCCTATACATAGTTTGAGGGTTGTTAATTAAATAAGGATTGTTTGTCCATAGCTTCTTAGTTCGAGAAGATTCAAAACTACTTACTATTTAATTTAAACAATCAAATGCTATTAGGTGCATCAATCCTCTTCATTGAAGGATTTGTGAATTGATTTGAAGAGTCTTCAGATCAATTCACAAATCCTTCAATCTTCACACACAAACATCAGCTGTTACAAACTTTATAAGTATCGCTGTGCCTAATCAATCAACTAACAGTGCTTTGAAATATTAAAGAAATGATATCCATACAGTACTAATGTTGGAAATTATTAATTTAGCTCATAAGTAATAATGCCAATAAGGCAATAATGTAATAATGCAAATGAAATAATAAAGAAATCTTTCTTTGTAGTATCTTTAATACATATATTTGATTTACAAATTAAATTAGCCATTAAAAGAGACAAACAAAACTATAATATGATTATCAAAACATCAAGGATAAAAAATTAATAGTAAATACAGTATATGTTATATTACATCTCTGCTTATTGTACACTACATAACATCAACACACAACATAATACAGTATATGTTATATTACATCTCTGCTTATTGTACACTACAAAAACATCAACACACAACATAATACAGTATATGTTATATTACATCTCTGCTTATTGTACACTACATAACATCAACACACAACATAATACAGTATATGTGAACCAGTTCAAGACACCATGGACCATTTTTAGAAACAAAAGCAAAATTTGTACAACTTAGTTCAATGATTTTTCCTTGGTTCAATTTAATCATTGGTGTAGCAAAACAAAAACACTAAATTCATTGAAATGTAATAAAGTAAATGTGTACTGCAAGCTATGTTAAGGTTAAATAAGAATATTTACAAACATCAGGGCAACTAGTATAATTAAGTTCAAAGTAAAGCTTTAACGCATGAATGTTCTCTAGAATAATTTTAGTAAAAAAATCGTCTATTTTTCTAGAAAAATATTCAGGTAGGCAAATGTAACTTAAGAGTATAATTTTTCCAGTTAAAATGCGGTGGGTTTGGCTGCTATGTGCGTTTCTTGTCTCTGCAGAAGGAGCACATGCCCAGACACTCACATTTGAGGGTGACTTTGAGATGGAACCGGAGAACAACACTACAGAGACAAGTCAAGGAGCTGTGAAAAGCAACGAGAGTGTAGATGAAACATCAACGGCGCGAACAGAAAGGACTCCAATCAAACTGCCCACAGGAGGGGTTCTATATCCTAGAGCATCCGAGAACAGAGATGTCAAGTCTCTCGATGGATTTTGGCACTTCAAACTGGACTCGATGGATCAAGAAGGCCTCAAGGAGCAGTGGTTTGACAAGGATATAAGCCAGGTGAGTGTATGATACTGGACCTAGAACCTAGCAGCTATTGGTATAAGCCATCTAAAATTCCGCCTGCGAACAAACTTGAAAGCACTCAGGTTGCTACGTCATAGTGAAGTCTGTTTTGCTCTCTGCTAAAATTCCATCAACATGATATTCACACTAGGTTAAATATCTGGGTTGAATCATGGTTGCCAAAGTAATCCTCGGTCTTGAAGTTGTCGCTTCTATATAAGAGGTTGTCATAAAATCTTCAAAACATAAAAACCAAAAACAAACACAACACTTCATAGTTGTTTTGTAAAAATGTTTGTTTTTGTGTGGGTTTTACAATAGGACATGAAACTTACTTGCAGTATCTAAAGTCAAAGACATTTAGTCAATATTATTTTCTGACAGATCAAAGCTAGGTAACTAACTAGTTTGTATGATGATGAGAGACATAAAAGCTGTTGTAAATGTTTCATTGACTTAACCATCAAGCTTAAGCTACGGTACTGTATTTGATAATATCTGGCTATGACAGCATTTGCTTCTGTGTAGCAAGCCATGTAGATGTCACGAAACAAAATGTTCTGAAGGTTGTTCTGTATTTGACTTGCTAATCAGTGAAAAACGATTCATTACTAACGATTGTTGAAAGTGCAATGTTACAAAGTTGCTTGAGTTATGATAATGATATCAAACTTTTAACGCATATTGTCACCAAATCATATTTTAGATTTTGGTACTGTTTCAGCACTACAATAAAAGTGAAACTGAAACATTTATATGTCGATTTTAGCATTTCCTACTGCCTCTGCCCTATTTTTTTGCAATGAAAAAGTATTAAAAATTTTGTCCTAGGCCTATATACATTTTTGGATTTGGAAAATGGTTTGAATTGCCACAATAAATGACAAAAGAAAGAAATTTTCCACCCTCAGATTTTGATTGTATCAAAGAATTAAAGCTTATATCTTTTAAAACTCATATTAAAAAACACATTCAACTTTTTCAGACCAGAACTTTGTCACTTTAGTAATTGGGCTAGTAATTACTGTACTCATAGATAAATTTACAACAATATAGTTCATTAGTAAGTCAAGCAAAGCAAACTATTATACTGTGATATCTCTAAATTGATCTTGCTTCTATTGTTTTGTCTCAGTTAGCAGGAATTAAAAGCTCAGGAGTTCCACAATTAAAGCGTTAGCTTACTGCTGATCACATTATAAAAATAAAAACAACAAAAAAGATGAATGTTAACTTATAGACAAGTAAACCCTATAGTCCAGTAAATATGTCAGAAAATACGGGGTTGCTGTGCCAAAGGTCGGGTAGTTTTGATTTTTGCATATGTTGTTAGTGTTGGGCCCATAACATAAAATCCAAGTTTTCCATGGCGGGCCACGGGACGCCCCACTTGTTAACAAAATGCCAAAAATTTGACCATCTATTGTTTTTCATTCTATCTTGCATTCAGTTGGTTTTGCTGAAAATATTACTTTATTAAATTAAAGGAGGATAAATTTGTGACAGTTTATAAGCACAACACCAAGTATATGTAGTGTAAATAATGGCCGAAATACAGATCTTAAAACTAAACTAACTAAAATCAATTTAGTCCAAGCAAATTAAAAACAGACACAGGGATCATTACAAAAATTTCAAGAAAATATTTTATCGTTGTATTTTGTAGTGTTGGGTGTGCATAGTTACATACTAAATGTTGGCCAAAACCCCATAAAATATTATATAAATTAGCGTATTTTCTCAATATTGGGCCAATTTTCAAAACAGGTTACCACATGCATATTTATAGGCTGCACTTTACTTTAGGTTCTACATTCATTCGAATAAAAATATCGATTATTCGATTGTTTCATTCGATATATCGTTTGGTTAGTTAGGTTAGGTTAACCTTACCTAACTAACCAAACGATATATCGAATGAAACAATCGATTAATCGATATATCGATCGATATTTTCATTTGAATGAGTGTAGGACCTAAAGTAAAGTGCAGCCCTTTATTTCAATAGGGGACCTGTTTTTGGCCGCCATATTGAATATAAATAAATTTTTTAAATAATGTATAGTAGTGATAGTTTTGTAATGCATCTTTATAAACTCTAGATTCTCACTCTGATTTCAATGCCAAAGCCTGTTTTTAAATACGGTACATAGTATTTTCTTTTGTTTTAAAGATATATTTCAGCAAAATCTCTCTCCCATACATTTCTTAAGGGCATTCCCGTACTTTGAAAATTGTTTAATTTTGTTTTTTATATCTCCAGTTCTTATTAATGCTTGCAGTTTGTTCTAGCCATATCAATAGGAATAAAATAAACGAGGTGTTAGCCCGTCCTACGTACGGGAATTCAGTAGTCAGTTAAAACCGTGTACAATTCAGATCAGCTAGTTTACACATATAAAGACGTTTCTTGCAGTTTTAATGTGAAAAATTATCTTGTAAACAAATGTTGTGTGACCAAATTTGTTTTTATTCCATCATAGAAAAAATTATCGGATTAAAATGCATATCGTATAGGCGATATGCATTTTAATCCGATAATTTTACAATAAAACAGCAATTCTGCAATTTTTACAATGTGAAAAGCGTTGAAGTGCGATTTGCAGCCAATTCGCACAGACGCACACTGATTATAATAGTAGTCCTGATTATTCTTGATCTTATTTTTATGACATCAATATTTCCGGGCCTAATACAAACAAAGTTAAAGCAGACAAACATTAATTGTAAACAAAAAGCTACCATGAAGAATTAAAACATGTAAACATTATTGTTATTTTTCTAATCTTTCCTTGAAAAGTGGAGCAGTCAAATAATTTACGCCACACTACATTATTTTGACGAACTTCCCACGCAAGGATTTAGTCCAGAAAACAGCTGTTTGCCGCCAGCTTATTCAAATGGGGTTTCATTGCGTACTACTGTACTGTAATGAGTTTTACCGGACACCAATCAGCTTATTATACTGTATTTAGGTGGCAATGAATGGTTATAAACAAAAACATAACCTCTCTTAGAGGTTATGACTAGTGATTTTTAGTCCTTTAGTTGGTGGAAATATATAAGGATTTGTACAGATTTATTAGTATGGCGTAAACTATCGTACGTAACTCGTCCAAAATGTGTTTACCGGTAAACACTTATTTTCAGGACTAGTAACGTTATATACTATTGCATTTATCCTTTTTTATTAAGACTCGTGTACAGAGCCTGGATTTGTACTGTGGTTTAATTAATTTTGGTCAAAACTATTTTAAACTGTGGTCTAATTATCTCTACTAATCTTAATTATTTCCTATAATCAATGACAAAATAAGAGTAAATAAAATAACATCATAGTTCCATAGTTTATATTTAACCAGCTGTAGTTAAAACAAATTATATTGCTCTAAAACAAATCGAAGATTACAAAGATCGCTTTAAAAAATAATTTGAACATCCTAGTATTTTACTATGTATATTTAATTAATCTGTCATCCTCTTACAGAAGAATTGAACGTACAATGATTAGCATTACACTTAGTATAAATAAGTCAACCCTAAGTATGTCTTTACATTTTTATCCAAATGCTGAATTTGTGACACAAAAGCTGAATGTTTACAGCTGTTATGTTAAGCAAATTTATTATTATTATTACGAGCTGTTGGCCCGTCCTACGTACGGGAATTGAGTGTTCAACTAAAACTGAAGTTATATCAATGTTTCCATTTTAGCGAATTTCCCTATAGGGAAGTAGCTATTACCGTAGGTGGCACGGTAAGACCTAGACCCGGGACCGATTTACTTTTTCATTTTGATGTCCCCAGAGGCCAAAAACACCATTCGTTCAAATTTTTATATATGTATATATATATAGACTTATGAATGGTTATAAACAAAAACATATAGTGATTTTTAGTCCTTTAGTTGGTGGAAATATATAAGGATTTGTACAGATTTATTAGTATGGCGTAAACTATCAAGGAACATCTACAAGCATTGAAATCAAAAAATCAGACATCAATGAAGTCGAACTTCGCCGACCATATAATGAACACAGACCACAGTTATAAAAACATGAAAGACAATCTAACTATTTTAGAATTTGAAAAAGAACGTGAGAAACTTAATGTGAAAGAAGAGCTAAATATTTATATACACAACAAAAAGGACCCCAACAACATACTCAACACAATGATTCCAAAATTAAACCAACCTATCTACGATAAAATTGAAAAACTAAGGAAAGAAAGAAAAACATTCATATAGTATAATGAAAAAAATTAATACCAAAATGTATTAAGATTTAGTTAACATATTTTATTATTTTTACATATGATTATATTTTTAATTTTGTTAGTTTAAAGAATGAGGTTATGGTAAAAATGACTTGACAATGGACTTAGTTCCGAAACATGTCGTCATGAAAAATAAAATAATTACTAAAAGGGTACTTTGTTATATATGTTTTAATTTTAATATATATATATATATATATATACGTCCGTGAACGCGATAACTTGAGTAATTTTTGTCCGATTTTGATGAAATTTGGTTTAAAGGTGTAAAGCGGGATAAACTTGAATGAGTTCGCGAACCAGCATGATCGGACCATGGGAACGGGGCTTTACGGGGGGTTTTATGGGGTAAAAATTGGTTTTTCTCACTTTTGACCCTCAAAACACAAAATTTCCCAATTTCTTGTTAGACCTTTTTAAAGAGCTTAAAAAAACAAATAATTTAGTATATAAAAGAATTTTTGTTCGATTATTAGTAACGGAGAAAATTAAAAAAATTGTAAATTTAAAATTCCCATGTTATTCTTATGGGGAATATTGTCAAATGTTGTAGTTTGCTTGTTAATGGATATATTTTGATCAAACTTGGCAAATTTATTTATTTTGTACTATGCTATCAATATTTTACTCAAAAACACACTTTATTAGTTTCCTTGTAGCAGCAAACCTAGGTACTCGTTAAACCTAAATGTTATTAAAATATATTTAACTGAAAA